CAAGAAAAATAATTTGCAAGGCTTTATCGGTGCATCATAAATCTTTTTTTTTTTTCTGAGAAGTAGACTTCCTAAGCTTTAAAAATGGACCAAATAGTTTTCTGTACGTTGAATATTCGCGGACTTATGGTGTTTCGAGGATGAGAGGTTTAGGCCGGTTCAGGAATTCACAGCAGGCATTTGCCCAAGGAGTTAAAATCCCGCGGCCATTTGTCTTCCTTGCGGTTAGGCATATGGCAATCTGCGGTAAAAGATAGTTAATTACATATCCGGTCACAGGCAATTTGATGTTGCGTCTGCTATTTCCAATTTTTAAAAAAATTCTCTCTAAAAGAATTTCTCCGTTTGGAACAGTTAAAACAGAATCAGAGAACATTTGGATCTGTTGACTGTGACTTTATGAAAAGCGACAGAACAAAGAACACAAGAAAGATGCTGCGTTACTTATTGGGGTTAATTTATTACAGCAATACCATATTCGGAAATATTAGCGGGAAAAATGAAGTATTAAATCTCGCTCTGCTGCGCCCTCAAATGCCATGGCGCTCACGACGAGTTTTTTCTCGTTTAATTTTCGCTTGTGCAAATGCTGGCTATCTTGTGATCTTCACTGAAACAGGTAAATAATTACTATCACGGCCGCAAGGTGAATAATTACAAATCTTTACATAAAGAAAACGTTTTAGCTAGAAATGCGAGCGGACTGTTATTTCAAAGACGTGGCGCTATTAGGATGCTAATCGAGCTTGATCTTCGCTGAAGCTTAGAAGTGGTTATGAGGACCAGCTCAGTCGCTAATGAAACTGTTAAACATTACGGGGTTACTATCACTTAAGCCGAGGGGCTTCGAACAGGACATTCATTCACTCCTAGAAATGTTAAGCTTTGTTTGTTATAAACCCGATACATGTATTAAATGTAACCCGCCTGACAAAAAAATCTGGATTTTTCCTCAGGAAATATCTGTAAACTTGAGCATTAAATATATAGGCATGCTGAGTGATATTTCAACTGATCCTTAGTTACCTGGGTCTAACAAATACACTAAAGCATTAATTTACCTGTGTTTAACAAATACAGCAAATACGCTGGGGTGTCAAATTGCCTGTGTCTAACAAATACTAGGCTCGATTTCCGCCGTCTCCCGGGTCCGGTCTTGATCCTCCCCGAAGATGGGGATGAGTGCGGGCTCATTTTCCCGAGCAGCGACTGGTAATCGAGCCTAACAAATACCGTAATTTGTATATGTTTAACAAATACACTGGGGCATTAATTTGCCGGTGTTTAACAAAATACACTGGCGCATTTATTTTTTTGTGTCTAACGAGTAAACAACAAATTTATTTATGTAATCCTTTACCAATACAATGGCAACTAAGATAAAGGCGTTTTAAAACTGAAAATTCCGGTGATGTATATTTTTTAACCAAGCCGGCACGAAACCGCCAGCCACGAAAAATGTAACAGTAAAGAAAGAGTAGCCCTGTCCCATTGTTTTATTGTACTACATATCAGGCGTTCAATAAAACTCGTATACCTTAAAGAGGAAAATTTGCCTCTAAAACGTGTCAGGATTAATCCGGCTTATAACACTCTCGTAAGGCTTGTCTTCTTTTTAGCGTGGTTCCTCTTTCAGCTCCTACTGTGATTTAGGTAAAAAAAATTTTACCTAAGCAGCGGGGACCTAAATTCCTGAATCGGCCTAAGCCTGTCATCAGGCGGCGGGCGGGGGCGGCATATGTCTTTATGGCGGACGGACACCCCCATTAACGCTCGTTCAAATTTCGACGCTAACTTCCAATATGGCCTCTTTGGATCAAATAAAGGAGGTACCGGTTTTATGTGCTCGCGTATAGGTAAAATCTTTGCTCGTTGGCACTTAGCGATAGCTATAACTAGTTTATATATTAATATTTGTCGCATCGAGTATTTAGCAAGAAAGAACCTAGTAAATTACATACGCTTTTAAGCCGTCTTTACACCAGATCCGCTTGCTGATGAAATACAATTTTGCAAGGGATCCGGAGAAGGGGAGAGAGCAGCCATAGGACCCCGATCCGGAGAAGGGGAGAGAACAGCCATAGGACCCCCTTGGGTTTTGTTATCTCGTTATATTCTACAAAAGTTTATTGGACAAACTTTGACGATCTCTACAACTTGGCAGAAAACATTTGACCCATTGTTTCTGGGGAATTCCAGTTCATTTTGCAGCGAAGCAGGAACACCCGTAACTTAAAAGTCCCATCTTCTAGATTTTTCGAAGTCAAAAGACATTAATAATGACTTCATTTCAGTTCATTCTTTTTGGTTAATTCAAATTTACAATCTTATTTTCTAAGCACCCAAAATTAGCAAAAGCTAGTCTTGGTGGGAAGTGTCTATATACAGAACACGAACTTCATTCACATTAAACTAACAAGTAAATATCAGTAAATTCATATAAACTTACAAATGAAAAGAAAGCTGGAATACAAAATATAAATCAGAAACTTACAAGTACAATATTAAGACGATTGCAAAGATAATGATTGGGGGAGTTACGGACGATCAATTTATTTCATTTGTCCTAAAAAGGTAGGTAGATGAGGAGAGTCGTCTGTCTGTGATTGGATTTCAAGTAAGCAATCATGTTAAGCCTTCAGCACAGAATTGACCCAAAACGGCAATATTCTCATAATATAGCCCCATTAAGGCGGGAGCGAATCCCAGTAGTTGTAGGTAATGGAAACATGAACCTCTCTACGTGTAGTACCTGCTGACGTCGTGTTTCGTCGCGCCTTTTCCTTTAAATCGTCGGTTTTTCAACGAAACTTGTTATTGCGGCCACGGTACCGCTAATAGCGAGCTTGAGCAACCACAACAAAGGCGATCATCACGACTTTGATTTCTTTGGAAATACCCTTAGAGAGTCATTCGCAGGGACGGCGGAGCGCAATTTCAACTGGGGGCTGCCCTTAAAAACTCGCGCCGGAGACGCGAGTTTTCTTGGAGGGGAGGGGGTGGTTTGGGGGAATCCTCCCCAAGAAAAGTTAGAAATCTAGAGGCTCGGAAATGGCATTTGCAACATTCTCAATGAGATATTTCTCTAAAAACCTCAACCAGGATAAGGTGTAAAATGACAGGTACTCGGCTTTCAGCATGCGCCTTATACTTAAACAAAAACCCTGACTTTGTGTTCCAGAAATAAAAAAAATCATAAAACAAAGGGATGAAAGAGGATTCAAGTTGTATAATGGCCTTGAATGACAGTTCAGTCCTTGTTTCTTTGCAAGCTGACCGAGCTAACAGGTTCATTGTCTATTTCTTTTCTCTTCTTTCTTTTCTGACATATTTCATTCTCTAAAAAACTGAGAATTTACCGATAGCCAAAAAAATCCTTCGACGTATTTTAACAGTTGAGTTGAGCATTGCATGAAATAAGAAGATAAACACGATTTACATACGTCATTGGACAGATGGATTTTCAATTTAATTCTTACTTAAAATTGCTGTCTACAAATATACTTTTACATGCACCTTTTAGTTATACGCCTTCATTTGAATCAGCTCAACTTTCTCTTTGTTGCTCCAAAACCTCAAGATATAATTAAGTTTTAAGTCTGCACCATTTAGGTGGAGGGATGTTTGTGTACCCTTATCCCTGTAATAGAAGTTAGTTACAAGTCAGTATTCCTGTAGTACCGATATTTAGATCTTCAAATCAATCATTCGCCTTCTAGTTATGATTATTTTTCAAGTCATCCCAGTCCTTAAAAGATAAAACATAATATTAATAATAAAAAATAACTAAAAAAAAATGATGATTTTAATAATTTTAATAAAATGGTCAATTATACTTTATATTCCTAAAATCCTAACTGTACTTAGCAAGGGAGTACGTTAACCGCAGGTGGATATATGACACCAATATATTTAGTAGGCTTTTTGCTGGAAAAGTTTAATTGAATTGACTCACTTTACTCAAAATAAGCCAACCACATGGTAAATATTAGCCAAACAGGAACGTGTTGTGCAAAATTCATTTACTCCTTCATTAAATTTTACCGCTTCGCGAAGCATAAGTTTAAACTATTTCCTGCATGTAGCTTAATATTTGAAACAGACTTGTTTCCCACTTTCCGTAATAATTAATCTGTACAAAAAAGGTCGTAGTTGGTAGTTCCAAGCGTAACTGTTTTGAGAATTCATACAGTCAACAAGTAGGTGTGGCTCTCCCCTGGATTATTAGCTTCTAAAAAGCACAATTTCATTTAACTACAAAACTGACCGTTTTCATGACCTACTCAGTTTTAGGTAGCTCGGGGAAACATTTTGTTTTAAAACAGGGAAGTAGAGTAAGGTAAACAGACAAGATAAACAAACCCCTAATGCTGGCGGCTGCGAAAATTGCTAAACAGTTAAAGTTAACATAACATGAGGGTTCTTCATTTGTGAGACATTTTTGCATCTCATTTATCTCTTTTTGGTACTATTATGCCTCCAAACACAGAAGATGTATAAATTCTTATAAATCTAAAGGAGAGAAAAACTGCTATCTACTTTTACGTAAGGGAGAAACATTTATGCACGGAGAATTACTGGGAGTGGGTGCAAGAATCCTTTCCTAAGCGAGCCCTACAGGACTCAGGAATCCATCCCATTTTCTCGTCACTTGCGTGGATATGTTACGAAAGGATGTCACTTTTTTCAAATCGAAATCAGTTAAGAATGTGTATCACTTCTTTAAACGTGTTCAAATTTGGTACCAAAACAATATCAAGCAATTAGCCCATTAACACAGGGAACAAAAACAATATTTTCCCATCTACCCGTAGATGGGAAAATATTGTTTGCAGTCCGTATGTTCTTATTGGTTGAATACTGAAAGCTGTCCTGACATAATTCTCTATTTGAAGCCGTGAGAAGGAAAATTAATAAGGTTATACTGCCTTTTAATGTTTTTTCCGTTTTTAGGAACACGTTTTTAGTTTCCAAACCACTGAGGTAAGTTGGTAAGGATAATGCCGAAAATGGACGTTTGTCTCCAACTTTGTGCCTTTGGTCTGTCGCTGTTTTTATTCCCAGTTGCCTTTGGTTGCATTAATATTGGTAAGCATTTTACATCATCTTCAAATTTAGTTAAAAACCTCCTTTAGTTAAGTTAACGTATCTTGAAGGCAACTCAATTAAACATCCAAAAGTGGAATCAACAATTCAAATATATATTAAACATTCTTGAATGAGTGGAATAAATTTCTAACACTTTGTGTTCCACTACTCCACAATTTGTAGTAGAAAATAAATACTTATACATAAAAACTAGAAAAGAGAAAAAGCTTAGCGATACTTCGAATCATGCTGCATGGTGTGAAACGCTCAAAATGAGATTAACGGGATGAACATTTAAACGACTTTTTTATTCCCTTTTTATACTTTTTTGCTTTTATTTTCAAAAGTGCAGTGAGTGTTATTGTTTTTAATTTTTCTCTTTTTTGACTCATTTTGACTAATTCAGCCAACCGGAATAGTCATGTAAAATTGTCGTATATTTTGTTAATAGTATATGTTGTGTAAAGAATTGCATATAGTGCTTATTGAATTTCTTTGTTGATATTTTCCAATATCTTCATTCAAAGCCTGTTAGCCCTATTTGTGGTCACGCAAACGAATTGAGTTCAAAATAGTTTACCCAAATATACTGTCTGTTTATGCGGTCAAGAAAGACTACCAACGCCTCAAAATTTATTGTGTCTTTGAAGCAAAATAACTCGGAACGCTTCACTATCAATGGTTTGTTCACATATAAGACCACTGAATTTGTGCCAAATGCCCTTGCGCAACTTTGGACAAAAACGCGAACTTCAGTATCTCGAAAAATATGTTCTGTTATGTAGGGTTTTCAAATTCGTTATTAAGTAGAACAGTTTAGTTCACTATTTGCGGGGTAACTTTTTTGCTTATACAATCGAATTGATTGGGTTCAAATTACTTTTCGCAAACTCCTGGCTGTTACGCCGCAAGGAAAAATTTATAACGCCAGAGAAATCACTGTGTCTTTCAAAACATATAATTCGGAAGGCTTCGTCGGTGCGTCACAAATATATATTTTTTTATCTGAGAACTAGACTTCCTAAACTTTGAAAATGGGCCAAATAGAAATCAGTACCTTGAATATTTGCGGACTTATGGTTTTTCGAAGATTAACATAATGTCGTTATGGCGGTCGCACGCGTCCATTAGCGCTCGTCACAAATTTCGACGCTAAATGCCAATATGGCAGGGGCACCCAACGACTGTTTTCTATAAAATATCTGTTCGGAGAAGTAAATATTGCCTAGAATTTTCGATTACTTGAGGGCAGCTAAAAATTTCTAGATGACCGTTCCATTCATGTACAATTTTCGAAGCTTTTCCAATAAATCCGCTACGATTTTCTGAAGTTTGAGTTTTCACATTTTCCTCCCCAGGTTAGGTTATTTTTAGTAGTAAAAAGGAAACTTAAAATTTTCGGACTCAAAAATGCTATGTAGAGAGGAATTAAAAAAATCGTCGCTTTCGTAAAACGTTAAATTGCATCTAAAATTTTCGGGAAAGAAATACTGGAGCCCTAATAATTTCACTTCGAACAGACTCAAGTTGCCCTAGGATGACCGAACAGATACAAATTTTATAGCATCGCGTAGAATGCATTTCTAGAGTTCTAAAAGTACTCTGGATAGCCTAAAAAGTGTTTTCAATGTATGTAGGAGGAAACCGTCGTTGGGTGCCCCTAATATGGCCACTTTGGATCAAATAAAGGAGGTTGTAAGGGGAGAAACAGACAAAATTAATTTGAAGCTCGATAAACTGACAGCAAATGTTGAAAAACTTTGTAAAACAGTCAAATTCCTTAATGATAAGTACGACGAGCTGCTTCCTCAAGTGCAGCAAACAAACGGGAAGTTAAACCAGCAGGCAAAAAGTGTTGATGCTGTGAAGGTGGAACTTGACAAAGTTAAGAAATGTGCTACAGATGCAATGTCCTAAATTGAAGAAATGGTCCAATATGTGTGCAGAGACTGTCTGGAAATTCAGGGTATAAAACCTTCTGCCGAGTGCACATTGGTGCAGTGATTGGTGTCCCTACAGTGAAGGAAGAAATTTCTATCGCTCATCAAATTCCCACCTCTGAGGAGGATGCGCCTCTAAAGATAATTGTTGAATTTACAAGGAGAAATAGATTCTATCATAATGGTAGTCTTAGAAAGCTGGCCAACGAGAAAATTCAAGATTTACCCTATCTTAACCTGAAGTCTAATGAAAATTTTTACATTTCCGAATCACTCACGCCCTACAAGAAGCAACTCTTCAGTAAAGTAAACAAGCAAAAGAAGAAATTAAAGTGGAAGTACATATGGACACAGAGTGGAATAAGCTTTATCAAAGCAAATAAGAATTCTACTACGACTCATAGTTTCGACACATTGGAGGACCTTGTAAAATTTCAAAATGAACTTCAACATCTTACTGCCTAGATTCTTCCGTCCACAGCTTTTCCACTAACGAGGAAAAAGACACCATAGTCTAGAAAAACCGCGCAACATCGTGTTCAAATTTAGTATATATTGAGGTATTCTTTATACGTTATCTGCATGATTCTATTATTGAATGGCGCATATTAATCTCAACAGTTTAAGTGAACTTCCATTTCATGACTTGAATTTAGATCAGTGAATTCCTGAAGGAAACATGTACGTGGGTTTATCCTTTGTTTGAAAATCTTTTTCAATATGCCAGCAGCCGGCATACATACAACACAAGATATGAATCTAAGCAAAACCTCTGCAAGCCACGTCCTCGAACATGGGCAAACAAATTTTTTCGTATCAGCTAATAGATCTCTGGAGCGATATTCCTCATCACGTGAAAGATCTCACTACATTTTCCTTTTTCAAAGAAATAAAACGTTATTTGCCATCAGAACAATACTCGAAAGTAACCTCAATAGAATTTTATTATTAACTATAACTTAATTCTGCTATTGGCTCCTCTCCTCTTCTGGCTCTCTTTTTTACTGATACAAACTTAAAACAGTATTAGGGGTTAACACGAAAACCTCACTGTTCCTTTAGCCTCTAGGCTCCAAATGATTAATTATTATTCCTATTTATCACATTGTAAATTCGTAATGTATATAACTTTTTTTCTTGTAATAATTCTAAGTGAGTGAGCCAATGAAAGATTGTTGTTGTCATTGTTGTCTAAGTTCACTTATAAGAAAAATAAAAAATTGCCCACAATCACCTGTGCGCAACTTCGGACAAAAACACGAAATTCAATACCTCGAAAAATATGCTATGTAAAGTTGGGATTTTAAAATCTTGATGCAGTAGAACAGTTTATTTCACTATTTTCAATTTAATTTTTGGCTTATGCAATCCAATTGAGTTCAAACTATGTTTCTTAAGTTAAGGTAATTCGTGACATTTCTACACAAATTAATCAGCGCGTGCGTACACAAAAATCTATGCTCGTTGGCACTTAGCGATAGCTATAATAAGTTTATATAATATTTGTCGCATCGACAAGTTAGCAAGAAAGAACCTAGTAAATTATATACGTTTTTTAAGCCTTCTTTTCTCAAGATTCGCTTGCTGATGAAATACATTTTTGCAAGGGAGAAGGAGGTGGGAGCGGCCATAGGACCCCCTTGGGTTTTGTTATGTCGTTGTATTCTGCAGAAGTTTATTGGACAAACTTTTATGATCTCTACAACTTGGCATAAACATTTGACCCATTGATTCTGGGACATGCCACTGCTATTTATCTGAGAACTAGACTTCCTAAACTTTGAAAATGGGCCAAATAGAAATCAGTACCTTGAATATTTGCGGACTTATGGTTTTTCGAAGATTAACATAATGTCGTTATGGCGGTCGCACGCGTCCATTAGCGCTCGTCACAAATTTCGACGCTAAATGCCAATATGGCAGGGGCACCCAACGACTGTTTTCTATAAAATATCTGTTCGGAGAAGTAAATATTGCCTAGAATTTTCGATTACTTGAGGGCAGCTAAAAATTTCTAGATGACCGTTCCATTCATGTACAATTTTCGAAGCTTTTCCAATAAATCCGCTACGATTTTCTGAAGTTTGAGTTTTCACATTTTCCTCCCCAGGTTAGGTTATTTTTAGTAGTAAAAAGGAAACTTAAAATTTTCGGACTCAAAAATGCTATGTAGAGAGGAATTAAAAAAATCGTCGCTTTCGTAAAACGTTAAATTGCATCTAAAATTTTCGGGAAAGAAATACTGGAGCCCTAATAATTTCACTTCGAACAGACTCAAGTTGCCCTAGGATGACCGAACAGATACAAATTTTATAGCATCGCGTAGAATGCATTTCTAGAGTTCTAAAAGTACTCTGGATAGCCTAAAAAGTGTTTTCAATGTATGTAGGAGGAAACCGTCGTTGGGTGCCCCTAATATGGCCACTTTGGATCAAATAAAGGAGGTTGTAAGGGGAGAAACAGACAAAATTAATTTGAAGCTCGATAAACTGACAGCAAATGTTGAAAAACTTTGTAAAACAGTCAAATTCCTTAATGATAAGTACGACGAGCTGCTTCCTCAAGTGCAGCAAACAAACGGGAAGTTAAACCAGCAGGCAAAAAGTGTTGATGCTGTGAAGGTGGAACTTGACAAAGTTAAGAAATGTGCTACAGATGCAATGTCCTAAATTGAAGAAATGGTCCAATATGTGTGCAGAGACTGTCTGGAAATTCAGGGTATAAAACCTTCTGCCGAGTGCACATTGGTGCAGTGATTGGTGTCCCTACAGTGAAGGAAGAAATTTCTATCGCTCATCAAATTCCCACCTCTGAGGAGGATGCGCCTCTAAAGATAATTGTTGAATTTACAAGGAGAAATAGATTCTATCATAATGGTAGTCTTAGAAAGCTGGCCAACGAGAAAATTCAAGATTTACCCTATCTTAACCTGAAGTCTAATGAAAATTTTTACATTTCCGAATCACTCACGCCCTACAAGAAGCAACTCTTCAGTAAAGTAAACAAGCAAAAGAAGAAATTAAAGTGGAAGTACATATGGACACAGAGTGGAATAAGCTTTATCAAAGCAAATAAGAATTCTACTACGACTCATAGTTTCGACACATTGGAGGACCTTGTAAAATTTCAAAATGAACTTCAACATCTTACTGCCTAGATTCTTCCGTCCACAGCTTTTCCACTAACGAGGAAAAAGACACCATAGTCTAGAAAAACCGCGCAACATCGTGTTCAAATTTAGTATATATTGAGGTATTCTTTATACGTTATCTGCATGATTCTATTATTGAATGGCGCATATTAATCTCAACAGTTTAAGTGAACTTCCATTTCATGACTTGAATTTAGATCAGTGAATTCCTGAAGGAAACATGTACGTGGGTTTATCCTTTGTTTGAAAATCTTTTTCAATATGCCAGCAGCCGGCATACATACAACACAAGATATGAATCTAAGCAAAACCTCTGCAAGCCACGTCCTCGAACATGGGCAAACAAATTTTTTCGTATCAGCTAATAGATCTCTGGAGCGATATTCCTCATCACGTGAAAGATCTCACTACATTTTCCTTTTTCAAAGAAATAAAACGTTATTTGCCATCAGAACAATACTCGAAAGTAACCTCAATAGAATTTTATTATTAACTATAACTTAATTCTGCTATTGGCTCCTCTCCTCTTCTGGCTCTCTTTTTTACTGATACAAACTTAAAACAGTATTAGGGGTTAACACGAAAACCTCACTGTTCCTTTAGCCTCTAGGCTCCAAATGATTAATTATTATTCCTATTTATCACATTGTAAATTCGTAATGTATATAACTTTTTTTCTTGTAATAATTCTAAGTGAGTGAGCCAATGAAAGATTGTTGTTGTCATTGTTGTCTAAGTTCACTTATAAGAAAAATAAAAAATTGCCCACAATCACCTGTGCGCAACTTCGGACAAAAACACGAAATTCAATACCTCGAAAAATATGCTATGTAAAGTTGGGATTTTAAAATCTTGATGCAGTAGAACAGTTTATTTCACTATTTTCAATTTAATTTTTGGCTTATGCAATCCAATTGAGTTCAAACTATGTTTCTTAAGTTAAGGTAATTCGTGACATTTCTACACAAATTAATCAGCGCGTGCGTACACAAAAATCTATGCTCGTTGGCACTTAGCGATAGCTATAATAAGTTTATATAATATTTGTCGCATCGACAAGTTAGCAAGAAAGAACCTAGTAAATTATATACGTTTTTTAAGCCTTCTTTTCTCAAGATTCGCTTGCTGATGAAATACATTTTTGCAAGGGAGAAGGAGGTGGGAGCGGCCATAGGACCCCCTTGGGTTTTGTTATGTCGTTGTATTCTGCAGAAGTTTATTGGACAAACTTTTATGATCTCTACAACTTGGCATAAACATTTGACCCATTGATTCTGGGACATGCCACTGCTAATACTTGTAACGTCATTCAAAATAGTCGCCATCTATCTTGACCACCATTTGGATTTTTGCTGAAAATTCATTTTTTGCAAATAATGTTGGAACGTACCTCTTACTATACTTAGACATTGTGCAGGGGAAACTAACCAAATTTTATCAAGAAATGATTGGTTAACTATAGGACCACAACACAAGGCTACATAAGCCACAAGATATGCCTCAGAAACATAGTTTCATATCGAGCTTTTAACCCTGAGTTTGCGTCCCAGAAATAAATATGTCATAAAACAAAGAGATGAAAGAGGATCCCAGTTGTAAAGGCCTTGAATGACAGTTCAGTCCTTGTTTCTTGGCAAGCTAATTATGAAGACTAAAACAGGGTCATTGTCTATTTTTTTTTCTCTTCATTTTTCTCTGACATACTTTTTTCCATAAAGCGTGATTTCATTTTCCTATTAGGAATCCTAAAATCGGGTTACTTTCTAATATATAACTGATGATGAGAGTTTACCGATAGTCATGGAAAATGCTTTGTCGTATTTAACAGTTTTAAAGTTGGGCGTTGTATTTAATAAGAAGATAAACACGATTTACATACGTCATTTGGCAGAAGGATTTTTAAATTAATTTTTTAATTACTTGAAATTGTCTATAAATATATTTTTACATGCACTTTTTAGTTATACGCCTCCACTCGAATCAGCTCAACTTTTTCTTTGTGGCTGCAAAACTGCAAGACATTAACTTTTAACTCTGCACCATTTAGGTGGAGGGAATTTTGGTTGCCCCTTATCCCTGTACTTGAGCTTAGTTAGCTTGCTATTCCTATAGTAAGGGAGTACCATAACAGCAGGTGGATAAATGTGACATATATACTTAGAATCAGCCTTTTTGCTGGAAAGGTTTTTAATTCAATTGAATTGACTCACTTTACTCAAAATAAGCCAAGATCAGCAAACCACATGGTAAACATTTGCCAAGCAGTATCGTGTTGTGCTTTTTTTTTTATTCATTCATTAAATTTACCGTTTCCCGACGCATAAGTTTAAAGTATTTGCTGTGGTTTAAAATTTGAAAACTTTCTTCCCACTTTCCGTAATCATTAATCGGAACAAAAAAAGATCCCAGATGCTAGTTCCTTATATTAGCGTATCTGGTTTGTGAGAATCGTATATTCAACAATAAGGTGTGGCTTTCCCCTGCATTATTAACTTCTAAACAGCATACTAGCTATTAAACAACTTTAGAACTGACCGTTTTTATAACCTACAGTCTCAGGTAGCTCCATGTTCTATTAAGTGAAAACTCAGGGAAAAATTTTATTTAGCAGTGAAGACGAGTAAGGTAAACTGCCAAGATAAACAAACCCCCTCAGATGCAGCCGGCTGCAAAAAATGCTAAACATTAGCTGACGTAAAGGGTGCTTCACTTTTTAAACAGTTCCGTATCACATTTATCTCTTGTTGGTGTTCTTACACTTACAAATACAGTGGATATATAAATTTTTATAAATCTAGAAGAGACAAACACTGCATGGATAATAACTGGGAGCGCGTGCAAAAAAATTTCTGCTGAGCGCGCTAGACCCTCAGAACTCGCTCAGGAATCTAATCGTAACTTTCTTGTCACTTTCCTTAATATGTTACGAAGTGATGTCACTTTCTTCAAATCGAGTTTAGTTAAGAACGTGGGTATCTTTTCTTAAAACGTGTTCAATTAAAGTTGGTACCAAAACAATAACAAGCATAGTCCATTAACACAGGGATGTTAAATTTTAGCCACAGCTACCTGTATAGGGAAAATATTGTTTTCTGTTCGTATGTTCTTATTGGTTGAATAGTGACATGACATAGTTCTCTATTTGAAGCCGAGAAAGGAAAATTAATAGGGTCATACTGCCTTTATAATAATCTTTTTCCCGTTTTTGGCGCACGTTTCAAGTTTCCACACCACTGAGGTAAGATGGTAGGGATAATGCCAAGCATGGACGTTTGTCTCCAACTTTGTGCCTTTGGTCTGTTGCTGTTTTTATTTCCAGTTGCCTTTGGTTGCATTGATGGTGAGCATTTAGCATTTTATATTATCTACAAATTTTGAAAACCTTCTTTAGTTAAGTCACCGTACCTTGAAGGCAACTCAATTAAACATACAAAATTAAAGCGGAATTAACAATTCTTGAAGCAGCGAATTGAATATCTGACACTTTGTGTTTCACTACTCCAAACTTCGTAGTAAAATTAAATATAAATACTTATCATGACATAAAAACCAGAAAGGAAGAAAGCTTAACGATACTTCGAGTCATGCTGCAAGCTGTGAAACGCTCAAAATGAGGTCGAGTTAACGGGGTGACCATTTAAGACTAACAAAGAGCGACTTTTTTACTCCTTTTTTATTTCATTTTATTTTTTTTTTGTTTTCAAAAGTAAGTGTTTTTTAAATTTTTATCTAACTTATTATGACTAATTCAACCAATAGTCATGCAAAATTCTCGAATATTTTTGTTCATATATATATGTTGAGTAAAGCATTGCATATTAAGTGCTTATTGAATTTCTCAATCAATATTTTTCATATGTCTTTATTGCAAACCTGTTAGCCTAACCTTTTTTTAAAGTTCTTTTTTTTCGGTCTGTAACGTTTGATATGATTAAAGCTTGGAATACATATTTGTTTGCGATGAAGCAGTCATCTTGTCAGGACAAGTGATTTCTTTGCTAACGTTATAAGTTCTTCTGCTATATAATAAGGATCGAGGTGGATTGGCAATATTTAAACAACATGCTGGAAATAAATTGTCTGAAAACAGTAGTGCAACCGGAGTTCTCTTTTAGTCGTTGTCATTTTTCACTGCCTATTGCTAGAGCAATTAATTATTAATTGATCTGTTAATTTTCAAGACATGACTGAAATTTCTTATTTTCTGTACAAGTTATTAGCGGAAATTAACTTGCTGTAAAAGGAATTAATAATCCCCTTCAAAGCTGGCTTTTTCTTCCTACTGCTATTTTCTTCCTACTGCTATTTTCTTTAAAGGTTGCGTTTACCTGCATTGACGGTATTTGTTCAAGGTTCTTCTTCATATCACATGCAGGCTTCTCTGAGAACGTGCGAGTTGTACGAAAGACAGCAGAAATAAGAAGATCGCTTAAAGATTTTTATTTAGGCCAAGTTCCTTTTCTGTTTCTCTTACTTCAAACCTTGTCCTTCGACTGATAATATATAGAAAAAAAAAAATAGTTCACATATCAAAATGATTGTTTTGACTTCCTTAGAAACTGAATAACAAGAATTTATATGTAATACTAAGCTAAGGGTAATGGTAAATATCAAAAACGAGTTCGCTGTTAGATAGTTCTCACATAGCGTTTGTGAGTTCGTCACACGATTTCGCATAGATTTATACGCAAGCCAGTGTTCGTCACGGAATGATTTTCTCGCCTTTTTTAAAAAGAAGTAAAAGTAATTTGGCCAGTCATCCATGGACAATTATCTACACCACGTACTCGCTTCTGGATAAGCGGGGCGTGACGATCAGCCACCTTAAGGCCCCGTCCACACGTATCCGGAGATTTTTGTATCCGCAAATTTTTTTATGCGGATACACCTAGCGTCCACACGTGTCCGCCGTATACGCTCGGTGTATCCGGAGATTTCTGTATACGCTCTCCAGAGTGGAAATTTCTGTATACGCTGTGTATCCGGATACGTGTGGACGCTCGTATCCGTATATTTTTGTATACGCTGACGTCACAGTATCAGAACCAGTCTTTTTTTTTTAATGCCTATGCTCTGTTGACTAGTCCTTTGAGATGTCCGGATACGAATCGGATACGTGTGGACGGTCGTATACAATTCGTATACGCTACGTGTGGACGCAGATATTTTTGTATCCGCATAAAAAAATTTGCGGATACAAAAATCTCCGGATACGTGTGGACGGGGCCTAAGGAATGCGGACTTAAAATTGAGCCAGAGTTTGTCAACAAAAATGACATTCTCATTTGCTGTCCCGGAGGAATTCATTCTATCTACCAAATTAACACCTCTAAGGTTTTCACAAAACTTTGCAGGGTCTTATTTTGCATAAATCCTGAAAAGCTTTGTTTCTGGGGCAGCTTTCATCCAGTTTAACTGTCTTATGCAAAAAAAACATGTCATGATCGCTCAGACTCAAACTTAAAACCCTGCAGTCTCTAATGTGAAAGTGGGTGGCTAACAAATGAAGGGGTTTACTGATCTAAATTTTCCCTCTGTAAATGTTGTTCAAGTTCGACACTACCGAGACAACAAAGGCGTCACTATTTGCGGTACCTCCGCCACAGTTTTGTTGTGAATATGCGGCTTGAATCGCCAGCTTCGATGGGCCACTAAACACTATCATCGGATCAAAGTCCCTCCGTTTATAAACCCCCCTAAAATGCATTAACCCAGGGCTTATAAGCCGAAGTTTATAATGAGTAAAAAAGCGGTATCACAACCGACTGTTATTGAACTAAACTGTTATTGTGAAAGACTTAGCGCGAGTAGCTGTCAGTCTAAAGACGCATTTATCAAACACTGATAAGGAAAAAGAATCCCCCAATGCATACAAGAGTACTAGTAATAGTTGACACTACAGCTGCCCCCGCTCTGTATATTGTCGGGCAATAGTATTCTCGCTCGTTTTGTAGCTCTTTGAAATATACCGATTTCATAATGAAGATGTTCACACATATTCCATACAATAGGTGAGATAAATTCAGGAAACGCAAGGTTCCGTGCACAGTTTCGGTTCGATTTACACAGCTTTGATCAAAACATCCTCAGTTTCGAGAATAGTTTAATCCAAACCATATGAAAAGATTTAATTAGAAGTTTAATTTTTCGCTATTTCTATTTCACTTTTCACATTTAGTTCATATTTTTTACCGGAAAGTAAGCCATAGAAATTAGAAGGACGTTTGATCAAATCACGCTCGCGCATTCTAGTCTATTTATTTTAAACTTTATAGCGGAAGGGCATCTGTGAGCAGGGAATAAGTCAGCACAGAATGTGATGATCGGCGAATTTCTGTAATCGTCCCTCGTTCTGCTGGTGATAAGCTAGCCGTTGAATCATTTACTCGTCTTGCATGTTTGGGGCCCAGTCTTATTCCGGTCAAAGAAAGAGAAAGAGTGTCTGGCAAGGTTTCACGAATCAAAGATTTGTGTACTCGTGTCTGGCTACACTCACTTGGTGTTAAAATATACACTGTTATACGCACCTTATAACTTCATCTGCGCTTAACGAGTGTCTTGGTCCATAACTTTCATAACAACTGCTCCAAAGAATGTGACTGATAACACGTAACGCAGAAGATTATCGAAGTATGACTGCACAATTAATGTCACAAAATCTACCTATTGCAAGCGGTCCCTTCGGGATTTTTTGTGTTTTACGTCATCCTAACTATTCGTACTTGCGGGCGCAAACAATAGAAACGTCATCATTACCTACCGATTCCTCGCGGCCCCTGTTCAAGCAAATCGAGATTTTTTCTATATTGACTGTATGACTGTGTATTTCAACTGCAAGTACTTTCCTTGATATACGCGCGAGTTACTAGTCTAAGAGTGCCTCCTCGGGATTTCGCCTTCTACTCGAAATCCCTGCGGGGGCAACAATCACTTTTTACACTTTCAATTCCTACATAATACGGAGCTTTCACGCCAGCCTTTGTATATAAAATCTTATCAAACCTAAAAGCTGAGCTCCAGCATAAGACTTGACTCGTGAGTTTGTTAAATAAAACCAAAACAGAGGAGCTAAAAACAAAACAAATAAACAAAAGAATTACGTATTTATTCAATTGTTTCTTTCCTGTTTCAGAAAACTGTCGCATACTGGTGTTCCCACCACCTTTCTTCTTCATTAATAAACATTTGGTGAACCACAGAATAGGAACTAGGGCTGGTGTCGATTTTGAGACCTGCAAGCTGCATTGTTACCACGAAAACAACTGCGTGAGTGTCAACTATCGCGTGAACACACAAGAATGTGAGCTCAACAACGCTACCCACCTTCTACATGATAATGAGTTTGTGGACAAAGATGGTTACCTATATCATGGAGCAGATGTAAGATTGTCTTCAATTTTATTATTGTTAGACCTCCTTCCTCTTTTCATCCTCCTCCTCCTTCCTCCTCCTCTTCCTACTTTTCTCCTCTTCCTTTCCTCCCCTTCCTCCTCCTCCTCCTTTACCTTTCCTTCTCCTTCTCTTCCTGCTCTTTCTTTCCTCCTTCTCCTCATCCGTTCCTTCTCTTCCTTTTCCTCCTCCGATTCTTATATTCCTCCTCCTCTTCCTCCTCCTCCTCCTCCTCCTCCTCTTTTTTCCCTCCTTCTCCTCCTTGTCCTCCCCTTTCCGCCTCCTCCTCTTCCTCCTCCTCCTCCTTCCTTCTCCTCCTTGTCCTCCCATTTCCTCTTCCTCCTCTTCCTCCTTCCTTCCTCCTTTCCGTTCTCCTTTTCTACTTCTTTTGCTGCTGGTGTTGCAATTCTGATCCTCAAAAATGAGGATGAAATGTCAAAAATCCTTGAACATAAAAAGGTCCACGGCGATGATACTTCTTTACTGTGAAAACTCCGCTAGTCCCTTATTTTACTTTCTTTTTCTTCTTTTTGATAGAGTGCCTGTGATAAGTCTCCTTGCTACAATGGAGGAATCTGTCAATCCGGATTTTCAGCAAGAGGATATCGGTGTTTGTGTCCTTCTGGTTTTAAGGACTTTCGCTGTCAAGCAGGTAAGAAAATAAATTAAAAACAGAAAAAGAAGCCTTACTTTCACTAAAGATTTTTGCGGCTTTCGAGAACTACTTTTCTTAGTATGATTTGCCGGAGTATTAAATCCAAACCACAACTTCAACGTTTGGTGGACTCTTCAGCTTCGGACTTCACTGGACATGTCGGATGGATTTCTGCATAGCGTCAAACACGGACAGCATGTTAGTAGAAAGACAATTAAATGATTGTGAATGATCAAGCGGATTGTTAGTTTGATTGCATGAATAGAAAATTTTCGAGAAAAAATCTACAGGTTGTCGTATGAAAGATAAAAAACCGAGGGTCCGATCGAGTGTGAGAAAGAAAATATATTTGATCAAAGAGTAATTGCAGCCGGCGACGAGAAGAGCCCGCAATCCTAATCTCCATCACGCCTGTACGGTACGTATTGTCGGCAGCTTCGTTCAAACTTCCACTAAGAATGCAGTGGAATGCAGAAGTCGCAATCTGATAACGCTCGTTTGGACCTTCTATCACTCGTTATCTGATTACGCCTGATTTGACTTTCACTATCACTAAAACTTACGCAAAGCACAGCGTTGGTTGAGCAAGACCATCATGTCAGACCTTCGCTGTCGTCCGCATTCCGTAACCTTTAGTACATAACATATCTTTGTTGCCACACTGTCCTGCGTAGAATTGATTCAAGATGCATCTTAACTAAAATTAATTATCATTCAGATGTAGACGAATGCCGGTCCAGCTCTCACAATAATTGTAGCATCAATGCCATCTGCAATAACACCAAAGGTTCCTATAACTGTAGTTGCAAACCAGGGTATAGCGGGAATGGCCGCGACTGTTCAGGTGGGTGCTTGCAAAGTTTTATCTAATATTATTTACTTAGGCTCACGAATCCTTGCAGAGTCACCGTTACAGCCCACACTGAATTACTGGGGCCCGTAACAGTTCCTTCCCTCTTGAGAAATAGACCACCACACAGTACGTGGGTTGTTCATCGTCCCAAAGAATTTATCTGTGCCACGATTGTGAGATGGGACCTACGATTTATCGTCCTTATCCGAGAACACTAAAAAGTATAACCGTTTACAGATTTCTTCCCGGTTTTTTTTTTTTGCATTTGTTTACCTTCTAGTTTTGAGTAATTTTGGTTATAAGAAATAAGAAAATAAAAAGCACACAAGCACAGAAGAGCTACTATATTACGTAAGCGACTCCTCGAAGTATAGGAATACAATTCTACTGGTATGATATGCTTTACGCCTCGTATCATGTTAGAAACCAAAGTTAAATATATGCGGTTCCTTTCTTATTGATGCAAAGCAACTTGGCAGCGAGTTTCAAAACAAAAAAGTGTTTATTGTCACATTAGCAATGCTTGTATACTGTTTCAATAATCAGACGACCACTTTGTAGAATTCCTCTAATACGACAGATAATGCACTTTTGCAGCGTTTATGTTTATCTTTTTTCGTACCAGCACCTTTAAATTTACTGGGTTTATTCTTCAGACATAGATGAGTGCAACGCTGCAAATAATAGCTGCCATGAAAACGCTTGGTGCAATAACACCCAAGGATCATTCAATTGCTCCTGCAAACCAGGGTACGATGGAGATGGACACAATTGTACAGGTAAAATCATCTGCCTGCGTTTGGTTAACGTATCCACTTGTAAGTTTTAAAAAACCGTGATCAGGAAACCTTTTTTTCTTCGAGGGAACGAGGAAACATAGAGATATAGCCGAGGGGGACATGTTCGCAGGCTAAATGTGTCTATTATATGAAATGACGTATACTAATTTCTCCTTGTTTACTGCCGGATTATTGCAATTTTTTAAGTCTAGCTTGCGTAAGCAGCGAGACCTCATAATCTGCAACGCGTTTTTCGTTATATTTAGGACATAAAAGGGGGTCATTGTGCCAGGCGTTCCTTCCGGGGACCGTGGAAACCGGGACTAAGAATCGTTGCGTGATCGAAGCCACGCATGTTTAGCGAAGAAAGCTTAGGAAATAGAGCTTTTCCGAAACAAGTCGGTTCACGAATTCTATCGCTTAAAAGCGTTGATTACCTTGGAACAAGTGAACACTACTGAGTGGTCGAAAAAGAAAAATAAGAATCTTAATTAGCAAAACTCCGCTGGTCGGGTGTTGTAAACTTTTATTGTATGGAAATGGGTCTTGCGATGAGCATGCGGTTTATTTTCGGCGATGATTGAAATGACGTGCTATGTAAATCACTTTTTTGATCTCTGGCAATGATTTTATTTCTCTGGAATCGAGGCCCTTGAATTTTCGTGTATTTATACACGCGTATAGCCTGCGACCGCAGACGTTATTTCCGGTCGTCGCTAACACGCGTACTAAATCAATTCAGAAACAAATAAAAAGTATCGACGTCGATAAAGTAGGTAGTAACAAGAAGGCACTTACAGCGGCATTCTGTCGCGACTGCTTGGAGATTAGATCGAGAAATGAGGACTGGCGATTAATTCTACAAGAAACATGATTAACTCGCTAAAGGTTTTTTACTTCCTACTGTATCGACGTCGATACTTTTTATTTGTTTCTGAATTGATGTAGTACGCGTGTTAGCAACGACCAGAAATACCTCTCCAGAAGCAGGCTATACGCGTGTATAAACTCTTTAAAATGTTTCAGTTTTTCTTTTAAACTGTAAAATTCGTCAGGCATCTATTACTTGGAAGGAACTAATTCGAAAATCACTGTGGTTGTCTATTTTTAGAAATATCGCAGAAATCGTGAAAAAAAAAAAAAGAGTTTATATGGTTTTGGGGGACGCTGTCAGAAAATTACAGAGGGTTGTATGGCTCTTCAACCACGTTTCAAGAGTCATAACTTGATTCCTTTTTCAACCTTAGAGCACCAAACTTGGTCAAATGACCAATCTCAACATGACCTTTTATATGGTGGGGTTAGTTTATCGATTAGTTTAAATTTGAAACTCGCCTCAGTTCCCTACGCAACTCCAAAATGGCCAATACGACAGATAATGCACTTTCGCAGTGTTTATGTTTATCTTTTCTCGTACCGGCACCTTTAAATTTACTGGGTTTGTTTTTCAGACATAGATGAGTGCAACGCTGCAAATAATAGCTGTCATGAAAACGCTTGGTGCAATAACACTCAAGGATCATTCGATTGCTTCTGTAAACCAGGGTACGATGGAGATGGACACAATTGTACAGGTAAAATCACCTGCATGCGTTTGGTTAACGTATCCACTTTTAAGTTTTTCAAACTGTGATTAGGCAATCTTTTTTTCTTCGGGAGAACGAGAAAACATAGAGATAAGGAGGGGGGCGTGGGGTATGATCGCAGGATAAATATGTCTATTATATGAAATGACGTATACCAATTTCTCCTTGTTTACTGCCAGATTATTGCAATTTTTTTAGTCTCGCTTGCGTAAGCAGCGAGACTCATAATCTGCAACGCGTTTTTCGTTTTATTTAGGACAAAAAAGGGGGTCATTGTGCCAGGCTTTCCTTGCGGAGACCGTGGAAACTGGGAATAAGAATCGTTGCGTAATCGAAGCCACGCATGTTTAGCGAAAAAAGCTTAGGAAAGATTAATTTACAGCTATTCCGAAACGTGTCGGTTCACGAATTCTATCTCTTGAAAGCGTTGATTACTTTGGAACAAGTGAACACTACTGAGTGGTCGAAAAAAAAAAAAATAGAATCTTAATTAGCAAAGCTGAGATGGTCGGGTGTTGTAAACTTTTATTGTATGCAAATAGATCTTGTGATGAGCATGCGGTTTATTTTCGGCGATGATTGAAATGACGTGCTATGTAAATCACTTTTTTGATCTCTAGCAATGATTTTATTTCTCTGGAATCGAGGCCCTTGAATTTTCGTGTATTTATACACGTGTATAGCCTGCGACCGCAGACGTTATTTCCGGTCGTCGCTAACACACGTACTAGATCAATTCAGAAACAAATAAAAAATATCGACGTCGATAAAGTAGGTAGTAACAAGAAGGCGCTTACAGCGGCATTCCATCTCGCCTTTTTGTAGATTAGATCGAGAAATGAGGAGGCGATTAATTCTACAAGAAACATGATTTACTCGCTCGCTAAAGGTTTTTTACTTTCTACTTTATCGACGTCGATACTTTTTATTTGTTTCTGAATTTATTTAGTACACGTGTTAGCTACGACCAGAAAAACCCTTCCAGAAGCAGGCTATACGCGTGTATAAATACATAAAAATTCAAGGGCCTCGATTCCAAAGAACTTACATCATTGCCAGATATCAAAAAAGTGATTTACATGGCACTTCATTTCGATCATCGCCGAAAATAAATCGTATGCTCATCACAAGAGTCATCTGCATACAGTGAAAGTTTACCACACCCGACCATCGCAATTTTGCTACTTAAGATTCTTATTTTTTTCGAGCACTCAGTAATGTTCACTTGTTCCAAAGTAATCAACGCTTTCAAGCGATAGAGTTCGTTTCGGAAAAGCTCTAAATTTAATGATTCTTTAATCTTTCCTGAGCTTTATTCGCATAACATGCGTGGCTTCGATCATGAAACGATTCTTAGTCCCAGTTTCCACGGTGTCCGCAAGGAACGCCTGGCACAATGACCCCCGATCTGTGACCCAAACACGACAAAAAGGTCAGGGGGTACTTCCAGAAAAATTGGGTGGGGATGTGCGGCACGTTTCCTGAAACCCTTACCCTACTTCAGACCAAAATCTGTGATTTTCCCTACCCTATTCCAGACCTGATCAAAAATTTGATACCCTATCACAGACCTGAAGCCCTGGAGCCCAGCGCGTGACAAGCTGTTACGGCACGTACACGGTAGTTGGCGTAAACATTAAAAGGGAAATAATCTTATCGCCAAATGATGAAGAAGTAGCTAATTCTTCTAAAAAGGATATCCAATTCAAGACTAGAGTGCACAAACCATACCCTATTTACGACCAAAATATTAATAGTCGAAACTGATACCCTATTTCAGACCAAAACGGCTGAAAACCATACCCTTTAGCGCGGCACATACCCATATAGCCTATGTAAGGGACTACCCCCCCGGGGCGAAAAACTCATTGCAGATTATGAGTCTCAATGCTTACGCAAGCGAGCCTAAAAAAACCTTTAGCGAGTATATCGTATTTCGTGTAGAATTGGCGGCCTCCTCATTTCTCGAATCTACTGGTTGTTGTCTGAAAGATAAAAAAACCGAGGGTCCGATCGAGTGTAAGAAAAAAATATATTTGATCAAGGAGTAATTGCGGCCGGCGGCAAGAGGAGCCCGCAGTCCTAATCTCGATCACGCCTGCACTTTACGTTTTGTAGGCAGCTTCGTTTCGACTTCCACTAAGAATGCAGTGGAATGCAGAAGTCGCAATCTGATAACGCTCGTTTGGACCTTCAATCACTCGTGATCTGATTACGCCTGATTTGACTTTCTATCACTAAAACTTACGCAAAGCACAGCGTTGGTTGAGCAAAAGCATCATGTTAGACCTTCGCTGTCGTCCGCATTCCTTAACCTTTAGTACATGACATATCTTTGTTGTCACATACCGTTCTGCGTAGAATTGATGCAAGATGCATTTTAACTAAAATTAATTATCATTCAGATATAGACGAATGCCGGTTCAGCTCTCACAATAATTGTAGCAACAATGCCATTTGCAATAACACCAAAGGTTCCTTTAACTGTAGTTGCAAACCAGGGTATAGCGGAAATGGCCACAACTGTTCAGGTGGGTGCTTGCGAAGTTTTATATAATATTATTTACTTAGGCTTGTCAATCATTTCAGAGTTACCGGTACAGCCCACACTGAATTACTGGGGCCCGTAACAGTTCCTTCCCTAATGAGAAATAGACCACCATACCGGGGACTACGTTCCCAACTATTTACGAACAGTACGTGGGTTCTTTATCGTCCCAAAGAATTTATTTGTGCCAGGGTTGTGAGACGGGGACTACGATTTATCGTCCTTAGCCGAGAAGACTAGAAAGTCTAACCGTTTGCAGATTTCTTCACCGTGTCTTTTTGTTTTTTTGCATCTGTTTACCTTCTAGTTTTGAGTAATTTTGGTTATAATAATTAAGTGAAATAAAAGGCACACAAGCACAGAAGAGCCATTACATTATGTAAGCAACTCTTCGAAGTATAGGAAATACAGGATATTACATGGCCGCCCGAGGATACGAATTTTATCTTCGAGTGCTGAAAGTATTTCTCACGAGTGAGCGAAGGGAACGAGTGAGAGATACTTTCAGCACGAGAAGATAAAATTCGTGTCCGCAAACGGCCATGTAATGTTCTGTTTCTTTTATAGATACTGATGAAATTCCTACATAAAAAACAACTTTTTTTTATTCATTTTCGACACAGCAAAATAGTGCAATTAAAGTGGTTATCTATCGCAAAATGCTTGTCACAAAAATGTCATGAAACTCGGATATAAAGATGTAAAGGAGAAATAAAGACAATAATACTTATATTTTCTGTTCCGTAAAGTCAAAATTCTAATGAAGAAGAGAAAAATTCTATAACAGCAAAAGCGTATGTTAGTAACCATGGCGACACCAATATCCTCACACGTGAAAGATAAAAATAGTATCTTCACTGCGAGCGATGAAGATATGATTTTTTAGCAAAAGGAAAAATCCTGGTATTTCATCAGTATCTATATAATAATACAATTTTACTGGTATGATATGCTTTACGCCTCGTATCATGTTAGAAACCAAAGTTAAATATATGTGGTTCTTTTCTTATTGATGCAAAGCAAATTGGCAGCAAGTTTTCAAAACAAAAAAGTGTTTATTTTAACTGATTTGCAGTGCTTGTATATTCTTTCAATAATCAGACGAACACTTTGTTGTGGAATTCCTCTAATACGACAGATAATGCACTTTTGCAGTGTTTGTGTTTATCTTTTCTCGTACCAGCACCTTTAAATTTACTGGGTTTATTCTTCAGACATAGATGAGTGCAACGCTGCAAATAATAGCTGTCATGAAAACGCTTGGTGTAATAACACTCAGGGATCATTCACTTGCTCCTGTAAGCCAGGGTACGATGGCGATGGATACAATTGTACAGGTAAAATTCTTTGGGTTTTTTCAAGTCTATTTGAAACAATTCTCGACAACTCGCCTTAGTTTGAGAGGTGACTTTTGACATGTTCTGAAATCAATGCGAAAAAGGGAATGTGTTTTAACCGTAACTGACTATATACGGAGGATATTACACGGTGGCGCGAAGATATGAATTTTATTTTCGAATGGCAAAACAATATTTTACAAACGAGCGCAGCGAGTGAGTTAAATATCGTTTTTGCCACGAGAAAATAAAATTCATATCTTCAAGCCGCCGTACGCGTGTAATGTTCTTTTTATTATATAGACAAAAAGACATCAATAAAATAATAGAGGGAAATTACCGAAATTACGTCATCGATAAAACTCACGTGTGAGATTATGGAAAATACACCATTCGGGTGCCGCATGTAGTATTATGAATTTTACGTGTGGTATATTTTCCAGTAAAACACTCGTGAGTATATAATAGGGTCCCAATGGGGGGGTGGTCGGAGCCTAGGAGCCCTAAAATTTTTTCCGCCCGTGTAGCCCGCAGCCCCATCGCTTCGTTGCTTGGAGCCTTAATATTATTTTACTGTAGAGCCTAGAGCCCTCAAAACGTTTGCTGCGGAGCCAGTAGCCCCAAATATTAAAATTCGGACATATCTTGCACACAGATAGCGTCATAACGTGCTTTGTTTGTTGTTTGCTGGGAATCGGAACGAAGATAAAAAAAAAAAAAACAGTAAACTAGACTGAGGCTAAACATCTGGTTCTCATGTTGTCTTCGTCAATTGTCCTCTGTACATGTCTGACCAGGAGATATATTCGTAAGTCAGGAATTCAAAATCAAATAAAAACAAATTAAAGTTACTGTCTTGGACACGTTTCCTGGCTCTTCTTGATCTTCTTGTTGAAACTTCCTCCTGCTCACTCAGATTCTCCTTCATCTCCTACTTCTGCCATTAATTTTCTTTCTGTGGGCGTCATAGTATCATCCTCGTCTAATGCCCAGAGCATTGTCTTTTCATATCACTCTTCATGAACTCTTACGGTCCCCTCTTAACAACATAGGCAATGCCATACTCTAGAATTCCTTGCGATACTACACTGACGTTCCAAATACCAGAATCCGTGAAATGAAAGGGTAGAAGATCCTCTGAGAAGCAGAGGCATTTGCACCTTATATTAAACGCATCCATCATGATTAATAAATAACTCTAGATAACTGTGAAACACGAGTAGAGTGGAGAATACCTTATAAAAACAGCGTTTAGAAAACAGAAATTGCTGTTTTTCCTCAATTCTAGGGTTTGCTTTTGGATTAAATCAAAAAAGCATAGCGGAGCCTGGAGCCCTTGATCAATTTCTGGGGAGCCCTGGGGCCCTGTTTATTTTGGTCCGGAGCCCCGGAGCCCCGCTATTTTGGGTCCGGAGCCCTGGAGCCCCAAACCCTTTGGGACCCTGATATGATAAATAATTATATTATACTGGTGGCTATATTGACTACCTATTTGTTCAGGCAGAATAAATTTAATATTTACTTTAATTATCACTCAGACGCAGACGAATGCCTGAACAACTCTCACAATTGTAGCGAAAATGCCAACTGTACCAACACCGAAGGGTCCTTCAACTGTAGTTGCAAACTATGGTACATTGGAAATGGCCACAACTGTTCACTGGCAGGTTGGTTCTTGAAATTCCTGTCTCGCTTTCCGTTAGTTTTGAGACTTTTGGTTCAGTACAAAAAGGGTTAATGTTCAGTGATGTACTATTATAAATTGAAGTAAATTATAAGAAATTGTGAAATTATTAAAATCTTTATTACGAAACCTCAATTAAAATCCTATTTACAATCAACCCGCTGTTACAAAAAATCTAATTAATTCATCAAAACACTATTCATTTACAAATTCTAAAAAATAGAAGTAACTTAACCTTACATAAACGAAGAGGAAATAGATATAATTAATAATAAAAGTTCAAAATTCTATAAAATAAAGAATGCCATTATGCAGAGATATTAAGATCATACAATCGAATTATACTAATGACGGCTAAACCAGTGCCCATAAAAAGCCCTAAGTATAAAAGCATATAGACACGTATTTCAGATATCCGCACTAGCGACATTTACTTTACAGTCTAATGATTGCTCTATCTTGCTACGAAAAGGCGTTCGCGAACCTCTGACGCATGCCATGTACCGATCTTAAGAGTTCAAACGAGATCTGTGTCCTGAGCCAAGTGATTACAACATGATAAGGCTCGGTGTCTTTCTGAGCTATCTTGTCTGCGAGATGCTTTAAGAACCGCTGACACTCGTTTCCCATTCCGCCATTGGTTCCAAACACTAAAGGCGTAAAATAAAATTATAAGAAATTGTTACTCGCTCTTTTTATAACACATGTAATTTCATTTATTTATTCAGTTATTATTTACTTACTTATTCAAATCTAACATCTCAGTCGTCACGACTATTGTGGATAACGTCAGAGCTCATCTCAAAATATTTGCATCATCATGTAAAATACATCCTCGGATAACTCTTAAGGAGTAACCATTAACCCCCCATTCTGTACTACGATGGGAGTATAAGATAAGATGATTGACCGAGATAAACACCATCCATTAATGATCAACTAGTTATTTAAGCCTTTAAATCCTAAGGTCTAAATTAAAATTCTCCTTTGTCGCCCCTATTGATTTACTATAGAAGTAGTGGGGAGAAGTTGGCAAAATATCAAGCAAATACATCTTGTGTGATCATGTCCTTAATTCTCATTACAACTTTTGTTTTACAAAGCATCGGTATTACAAGGAGAAATTTGATGCTGATCACTCTTAGGGTGTAAAGGGTTAAATGGAAAAAAAGAGATCCGGAACAGCCTTTTTCAAGTCTTAGAAGGTGGCTAGTAGGTGGCTCAGTCACACAACAAACCAGTTACACGTCTTCAAACAGCTCTTGCACAATTTTACTTTGGATAGAAATATTAAGAATCACAAAACGACCAATATTCGATTCCTGCCAAGTCAGGTTGTGGATTGATAAATGCAGAAGTTCTTCTTGGCGGAGACACCACATCAGTTCATATTAACTATAACCACAGTTCACGACATTACTAACACGGGAGAAAATTGTATGTGTAGAATTTGTAAGACCAGCGCTGAATCACGGGATCATTCGAAATGCAGACGCATGCATGTACAAGTGTAGCTCGGTCCCAAAACAAAAACGAACAATTATACAAAACTGGTAGTGCTCGAGGTGATGCATGGTTGGGACCCATGTCAGCGAATAATCTACTTACTTTGGAAAACGCCAGTGGTCTGTTCAAGAGACACTATTACCGCGATGTCCAATAGTCTTTGATCTACCCCAAAAAATATTGATATCAATCTAGTACCCATTCGTCCGCCAAACCCTTACTTACATCCTTCCGTCCACGATTATCCCATAAAAAATGTATTCAGTTTTACCTCGAGTTTGAGCAAAGGACACAAGAGCAAAGAAGAGATCTACCTTAGCAGAACCGTACGGGTGCTATTACTCATTTTCACGTTCTCGCTCATTTCGAAATTGTCGCGTGGCTTTGCTGCTATGCCTGTTTGCTGTGGAGTTAAAGGTCTTTTTTGCTTCTTTTGACTGGTTTTGTTTTTAATGCTACCTTCCGCTTTCACTTTGTTCATTATCATCCCTGATCTAATATGCATGCATGCACTTTTTTTTAACGAAAGATTAGTCATTCATCCAGCCATCCATTCATTCGTCGTTCATTTACTATACCACCTATCTACTTTTCTGTCTAATCTAAATGCAGGACATGTGTAAAATGAGGCTGTGGCTAGGTACGCAAATATAAGGATGGATTCCCTGACCGTGATATTTTCTCATTCAAAATAACCTTTTTGTATCATCCATATGTTTCCATTTTCAGAATTTTCAATAAACTCAACAATATTACATAGAAATCAGTCTTATCTGCAACATCTTCACCGTTTTCTTGCCAAGGCTCCTGAGGTTGGGGAGGATTCTTCCTGGCTTCTTTGCTACAATGCTACTTCACATGGTTGGAGTAACACAATCTTCCACCAAAAATGTGATCATAAAAGAAATACTGTCACCATCATACAGGAAGGCCAATATGTCTTTGGAGGATACACTGACATTCCTTGGAGTAAGAATTCAACTTGATTTTTAAGTACCTTTAAAGGGCTTTAGTGCCACGGGTGTTTCACTGACACCTTAAAATACTCCTACCGTTGTTCCTCGTAAGTGCAAAATGATTTCAATAATAGTACTCGCAATGTAGTTTACTATAGAATAATGCTTCAGTACAGAGAGCGACAAATACGATTGTTCGAATGATGAATTAGTTGCCCGAGACATACGCCGTTTACACTTTACCTAATAAGCTCTGTACGTTTCACCCGTTCAAATGAGTTAAATTCAGTGACAACATTCTAACTATAAATTCAACTTAAATCCATATTAACCAGCTACATTATTTTTTTCAAGTTTTTTTTCTCTCAACGGAGTTACATTATTTTCAAAGCGGCGCCCTGAATAAACGCCCAGCCTAATTCTTAAAGTAAAAAGATAGATTTTGCATTGGAGCCAAGGGCCCATCCGAGGTTAGAGCGTTAAAAACCGGTTTCCACTAACATGAAGCGATCAGTAGCACTGCTTCCTTCTCTTTGGATAAAATGATATTCAATCGCAAGGTTATGCGATGTGATAAGAAACGAAATACTATCTCCATCATAAAGAAAGGCCCAAGGGTCTTTGGAGGATACAGTGACGTTCTTTGGGGTAAGATTTTATATTGACTTTGAAGTATCTCTAGTAGATAAAAGGTTCAAGGGCTTTAGGGACTGTGCAATAATTATCAGGAGGGGGAGCTGAAAATGAGCCTGACATAGAGTGATATTACGTGGCGCCCCCCGCCGACTTACATTTGCATGTTCTCTCTTTATACTGTTCTGTAACGTTTTTCGACGGCTGCGTCTGGAGAATTACCTCAAAACTACGAGGTGAGGCAAAGCCAACCATTTCAAAACAGTCGGATTGCGCATCATCTCTTGAATTCTCCTGTGAATCACTGGATTGAAGCTTTGGGTCATTTGCTTCGTTACACCATCGATTTCGCCTGGTTGAGTCATGACCAGAACGAACAAAACTCAGAACGCGAGCTAATAGTCTCTCTTTCCTCGACCTCTTTTAGCGTCATGTTTTCGTCATGTTTGTCATTTAATCGAACTGGGGAGGTATTCTCGCATCCCGCTATTCAAACAATGTTCATGAGGTTCACCTGGCACTTCCTTTTGGCTGAAAATGTCTTTACATTTAAACGTAATTATATTTCATTAAAAATATTTCCCCAATTCCGATTGGCTAAAATCACACGCATAATTCACAATAACCAGTTACTGATGACCAAATTTGGAAGAATTTTGTGTTTAACGAGGAAATGACGTCAAAAATGCAGCCCGCTATAGGTTAACGCACCGTTAACCGAGAAGACCTAGGGACGAGGTTGAGTTGTTTTGGTTGTGAAAACAAAGATGGCCGACACTTCACTCGTTTCAAGAGTAAGAACTACAGCTGGAACTAGGCCAAATAATAGCTACTAACATAGCAAAAACAAAAAGAAGACAACTCGGAAGACAAACTAGGAATTATTTTGAATGAATGATAAAACAATTATTGAATTCGGCTTTCGTATCATATGATGAATTATGGAGATCTCGGAGGGTGTTATCCACCTCGGCCTACGGACTCGACGGATAACACCCTCCTCGATCTCCATAGTTCTTCATAAGATACTCAGCTTCATTCATTAATTGTTAATTAATTACTACAGAGGGGACACCACATCTGTTGGTTACTTGTGTCTCGTAACGAGACACCTCCTTTTTAATACCTTGGTTACACCCATATTCTGTTAAGTAGAAATAACTAAGGCTAAAATATTATCAGTAACCACGATTGTTCAAGGCTTTGGTACTAATTATTGCTGGTCAGTTCTGTGATATATTTTGATCGCAAATAAGTAGTGCTTTGTGAAAAACCTAGCCTGCGTAGCAGGCGCTTGGAAGTAGTGGGCACAAGAAAAAACTGGCGCGCGAGAAGAAGACACGCGAGGGAAGAGGAAGCGCCCGCTCGTAAGGCCCCCGAAAATCTTTCCCGCCCCCTCTCCAATTACCTGGTAGCCGTTGCGTGATCTGTCAAAAGTTTTGACGGAAAATGACTGACCTCGCACAAATAAAGTGTGCCGCCAAAAAGCGTTGTTCATTTTATATTCGGTCTAAAATATATCTGTTATAAAGATCAGCTTGGTTATCTGACTATAGAGCGATGGAGCAATAAACTGATTGTTAACACAGCTTTAAATCGTTTTTAGCCACGGGCACAATAAATAGGAAATAGCAAAGTCAAAACCGGGTATCTTTTAAAGAATGTATGCTGTGTATTATAGAAAACTAAAAATATTGTTCTCTGAGCTTATGCTCGGTGTCTTTCTGAGCTATCTTGTCTGCGAGATGCTTTAAGAACCGCTGACACTCGTTTCCCATTCCGCCATTGGTTCCAAACACTAAAGGCGTAAAATAAAATTATAAGAAATTGTTACTCGCTCTTTTTATAACACATGTAATTTCATTTATTTATTCAGTTATTATTTACTTACTTATTCAAATCTAACATCTCAGTCGTCACGACTATTGTGGATAACGTCAGAGCTCATCTCAAAATATTTGCATCATCATGTAAAATACATCCTCGGATAACTCTTAAGGAGTAACCATTAACCCCCCATTCTGTACTACGATGGGAGTATAAGATAAGATGATTGACCGAGATAAACACCATCCATTAATGATCAACTAGTTATTTAAGCCTTTAAATCCTAAGGTCTAAATTAAAATTCTCCTTTGTCGCCCCTATTGATTTACTATAGAAGTAGTGGGGAGAAGTTGGCAAAATATCAAGCAAATACATCTTGTGTGATCATGTCCTTAATTCTCATTACAACTTTTGTTTTACAAAGCATCGGTATTACAAGGAGAAATTTGATGCTGATCACTCTTAGGGTGTAAAGGGTTAAATGGAAAAAAAGAGATCCGGAACAGCCTTTTTCAAGTCTTAGAAGGTGGCTAGTAGGTGGCTCAGTCACACAACAAACCAGTTACACGTCTTCAAACAGCTCTTGCACAATTTTACTTTGGATAGAAATATTAAGAATCACAAAACGACCAATATTCGATTCCTGCCAAGTCAGGTTGTGGATTGATAAATGCAGAAGTTCTTCTTGGCGGAGACACCACATCAGTTCATATTAACTATAACCACAGTTCACGACATTACTAACACGGGAGAAAATTGTATGTGTAGAATTTGTAAGACCAGCGCTGAATCACGGGATCATTCGAAATGCAGACGCATGCATGTACAAGTGTAGCTCGGTCCCAAAACAAAAACGAACAATTATACAAAACTGGTAGTGCTCGAGGTGATGCATGGTTGGGACCCATGTCAGCGAATAATCTACTTACTTTGGAAAACGCCAGTGGTCTGTTCAAGAGACACTATTACCGCGATGTCCAATAGTCTTTGATCTACCCCAAAAAATATTGATATCAATCTAGTACCCATTCGTCCGCCAAACCCTTACTTACATCCTTCCGTCCACGATTATCCCATAAAAAATGTATTCAGTTTTACCTCGAGTTTGAGCAAAGGACACAAGAGCAAAGAAGAGATCTACCTTAGCAGAACCGTACGGGTGCTATTACTCATTTTCACGTTCTCGCTCATTTCGAAATTGTCGCGTGGCTTTGCTGCTATGCCTGTTTGCTGTGGAGTTAAAGGTCTTTTTTGCTTCTTTTGACTGGTTTTGTTTTTAATGCTACCTTCCGCTTTCACTTTGTTCATTATCATCCCTGATCTAATATGCATGCATGCACTTTTTTTTAACGAAAGATTAGTCATTCATCCAGCCATCCATTCATTCGTCGTTCATTTACTATACCACCTATCTACTTTTCTGTCTAATCTAAATGCAGGACATGCGTAAAATGAGGCTGTGGCTAGGTACGCAAATATAAGGATGGATTCCCTGACCGTGATATTTTCTCATTCAAAATAACCTTTTTGTATCATCCATATGTTTCCATTTTCAGAATTTTCAATAAACTCAACAATATTACATAGAAATCAGTCTTATCTGCAACATCTTCACCGTTTTCTTGCCAAGGCTCCTGAGGTTGGGGAGGATTCTTCCTGGCTTCTTTGCTACAATGCTACTTCACATGGTTGGAGTAACACAATCTTCCACCAAAAATGTGATCATAAAAGAAATACTGTCACCATCATACAGGAAGGCCAATATGTCTTTGGAGGATACACTGACATTCCTTGGAGTAAGAATTCAACTTGATTTTTAAGTACCTTTAAAGGGCTTTAGTGCCACGGGTGTTTCACTGACACCTTAAAATACTCCTACCGTTGTTCCTCGTAAGTGCAAAATGATTTCAATAATAGTACTCGCAATGTAGTTTACTATAGAATAATGCTTCAGTACAGAGAGCGACAAATACGATTGTTCGAATGATGAATTAGTTGCCCGAGACATACGCCGTTTACACTTTACCTAATAAGCTCTGTACGTTTCACCCGTTCAAATGAGTTAAATTCAGTGACAACATTCTAACTATAAATTCAACTTAAATCCATATTAACCAGCTACATTATTTTTTTCAAGTTTTTTTTCTCTCAACGGAGTTACATTATTTTCAAAGCGGCGCCCTGAATAAACGCCCAGCCTAATTCTTAAAGTAAAAAGATAGATTTTGCATTGGAGCCAAGGGCCCATCCGAGGTTAGAGCGTTAAAAACCGGTTTCCACTAACATGAAGCGATCAGTAGCACTGCTTCCTTCTCTTTGGATAAAATGATATTCAATCGCAAGGTTATGCGATGTGATAAGAAACGAAATACTATCTCCATCATAAAGAAAGGCCCAAGGGTCTTTGGAGGATACAGTGACGTTCTTTGGGGTAAGATTTTATATTGACTTTGAAGTATCTCTAGTAGATAAAAGGTTCAAGGGCTTTAGGGACTGTGCAATAATTATCAGGAGGGGGAGCTGAAAATGAGCCTGACATAGAGTGATATTACGTGGCGCCCCCCGCCGACTTACATTTGCATGTTCTCTCTTTATACTGTTCTGTAACGTTTTTCGACGGCTGCGTCTGGAGAATTACCTCAAAACTACGAGGTGAGGCAAAGCCAACCATTTCAAAACAGTCGGATTGCGCATCATCTCTTGAATTCTCCTGTGAATCACTGGATTGAAGCTTTGATTCATTTGCTTCGTTACACCATCGATTTCGCCTGGTTGAGTCATGACCAGAACGAACAAAACTCAGAACGCGAGCTAATAGTCTCTCTTTCCTCGACCTCTTTTAGCGTCATGTTTTCGTCATGTTTGTCATTTAATCGAACTGGGGAGGTATTCTCGCATCCCGCTATTCAAACAATGTTCATGAGGTTCACCTGGCACTTCCTTTTGGCTGAAAATGTCTTTACATTTAAACGTAATTATATTTCATTAAAAATATTTCCCCAATTCCGATTGGCTAAAATCACACGCATAATTCACAATAACCAGTTACTGATGACCAAATTTGGAAGAATTTTGTGTTTAACGAGGAAATGACGTCAAAAATGCAGCCCGCTATAGGTTAACGCACCGTTAACCGAGAAGACCTAGGGACGAGGTTGAGTTGTTTTGGTTGTGAAAACAAAGATGGCCGACACTTCACTCGTTTCAAGAGTAAGAACTACAGCTGGAACTAGGCCAAATAATAGCTACTAACATAGCAAAAACAAAAAGAAGACAACTCGGAAGACAAACTAGGAATTATTTTGAATGAATGATAAAACAATTATTGAATTCGGCTTTCGTATCATATGATGAATTATGGAGATCTCGGAGGGTGTTATCCACCTCGGCCTACGGACTCGACGGATAACACCCTCCTCGATCTCCATAGTTCTTCATAAGATACTCAGCTTCATTCATTAATTGTTAATTAATTACTACAGAGGGGACACCACATCTGTTGGTTACTTGTGTCTCGTAACGAGACACCTCCTTTTTAATACCTTGGTTACACCCATATTCTGTTAAGTAGAAATAACTAAGGCTAAAATATTATCAGTAACCACGATTGTTCAAGGCTTTGGTACTAATTATTGCTGGTCAGTTCTGTGATATATTTTGATCGCAAATAAGTAGTGCTTTGTGAAAAACCTAGCCTGCGTAGCAGGCGCTTGGAAGTAGTGGGCACAAGAAAAAACTGGCGCGCGAGAAGAAGACACGCGAGGGAAGAGGAAGCGCCCGCTCGTAAGGCCCCCGAAAATCTTTCCCGCCCCCTCTCCAATTACCTGGTAGCCGTTGCGTGATCTGTCAAAAGTTTTGACGGAAAATGACTGACCTCGCACAAATAAAGTGTGCCGCCAAAAAGCGTTGTTCATTTTATATTCGGTCTAAAATATATCTGTTATAAAGATCAGCTTGGTTATCTGACTATAGAGCGATGGAGCAATAAACTGATTGTTAACACAGCTTTAAATCGTTTTTAGCCACGGGCACAATAAATAGGAAATAGCAAAGTCAAAACCGGGTATCTTTTAAAGAATGTATGCTGTGTATTATAGAAAACTAAAAATATTGTTCTCTGAGCTTACTTAGCCACAACTGGACAGACACCAACGATCACAGCGTTCGTGGAAAGTGACCGTTACTTTTACTGCGCTAAGTGGCAGCCGTTTTTGGAGCAGACATGTCTTACTAAGAGGACCTAAACTTCAGAACACAAACTGTACCGACTTGTTTTCTACTGCAGTAACGAGACATGATAAACAACAGACCTCAGGTCGCCTCCGAACGGGAAATAATACAATAGTGAACTGTTTTTTCAAATTCATGCCCTTTGTAACTGTTTCAATTCATCAGTCATGTCCAAGTTTTGAGGGCATACGTTCCATCAACAACACAAGCCGCCAAGTTCTCCTGAGCAAAGAATATTTCCTCTGATCCTCATTGCAACGATTCGACAAATCTTTTGTCTCTCGCCACTTCTGCTAATGCGTATCTGATGTCAATTCTTTCCATCGTGAAAACCGTTTGACCACTCCAATTTTTCTTTGAGATTACAGCCATATAGTCCCATTAAACCAGATTGAGGTGGCCTCCGAGACCTGAACTTCGATTGTATACAATTTAGTGGTTTTAGGAGCTAGTGGTGTAATGTAAGATCTTCAAAACGTTGTCCATGTACCATTGATTGACCGTTTTCTCGCCCCGCACGGTTAATTTTTCCCTCGGAAGCCTCTCGACCAACTGGAAATATCCGCACTCACAGAATGCGAGTTGAAACGATTTTCGGTGGCCTTCCGTGCAGGCCTCTCCCTAGCCCCTCGCGTGTCTCCCTCGCGCACGCCCGTTCTCTCTTTCGCCCACTACTTCCAAGCACCTGCTACGCAGGCTATGAAACCCCAGACCTTCAGATCCGAAGTTTGAGGAATTAGCTGCTTGACCACAAACCTTTCAGGTATTTAGTTCATGCAAGACAAACTTTTAGACGGCGAAAAAATCTATCTAGTAATCTTATCTTACCTAGGTTGGCTGGAAAAGTTGATAGCTTTTTTCAGCGCTTTCATGGATTAACAATGTCCAAGTATTATGAGACTGCCAAAATCGGTGGTTTGACAAAAAAATTCTCATAAACTTTAATTAAAAGGCTAAAGGGATAACTTATTTAAAATCCCGCTTAAATAACTCATCCCAGTGGTTAATGGAACGGAGTGGGTGGCACGTTAATATATTTCGTAAAGATTTCACGATCTTGTAACAGAAGATATAGGGCTTATCAGCGATGGCGCTGCAGAGAGCTATGCTCGACACTATCTCAAATTATTAGGTTAAAGGCATCTAAAGACGCTTGCTTGTTGAACCAAACTTGGAGCCTGACAAAAAGCATGGAGAAATCTTTAGATACATGCAACTTGCGAATACTGCTTATAGCGCTTAATATCCTACAAAAACAACATACTACGAACAATGAACTTTATAGCGATTTATGAAAACTAAATGAAAGGACCAGAGAGGCTTGTCATGCAGAGAAAGCAGCATCCAAAGTTGTGCCTTAGAGGCCAGCAAGAAAAACCGTTAACCGTGGAAGAAGAACTGAAGACACTATACCTTTTATTGACAACCTGATGAGGGACGCTGATCTGGAATCAGTTTCAGAAATCAGACTGCAATAACAGACAAGACATTGCAAGGGGCGGCAACCTTGTCAGCTAAGTTCAGGGGACTTCCCCCGATAGAAATGAGGTGGTGAGGTGATCTTAGATTTTGATGAAAATTCAGATATCAAGTAAATTTGGTACAGTTTTCTTGTCATGGTCGGTTACCTTTACCTCAATGATTCCTCGCGAAGCGAGCCATCCGAGGAGCGAGATAATTTTGTCGAAATTCGTATTGCGCGAGAAATGTACGTGAATGTATCTGGACCGTTGCCTAGTCCCTGTACGGCGTTTTCCCAGTCCCTCTCGGTCAATTCACTTCGCTTGAACCACAAGGCCCGAAACGCTTTGGCCGCGCGGAATAATGAGGCCTAGGGACTAGGCAACGTGGACAACACAGCGCGGCAGAAACACGACTCAGATTCATTTACAACTTGCGACGCCATAATCGATGAGGTTACTGCTACTGCCAAGCAGGTATATGATATATCTGGTTGGCAGTCGCAGTGACGTCATCTATTGTGGCGTCGAGTTGCATCAAGGTTTCTAGGCAACGCGACTTCCACTGGCTACAAAGGCCAAAATGTTCGTTCATCCTTTTTGAAAAATGTTTACTGTTGGTGAATCACGACCGATTCTCCTCATGCAAATAATGTATAACGCCGTAAAGAGACTTCGCGACGATCTCGCGTCAAGACACTTATCAGCTTTGTCGGCGATACATTTATATTCTTCAAATATGATGAATTGAGTTGAAGTACGGCTTTTACCTTCAACACCCTGCTTATTTTCCTCGAATATCTCTTTGATTTCTTGATAAATACAGCTCCACCAGCTTCTGACCGCGTCTATCAGCAAAATTTTACGGCAAAAAAGCTTTGAATATTATTATTTCCAAACCCCCCACCCCCCCTCCGTTTTGTGGTTGTTTTGTTTTGTCTTTTTTTTAACCATATTGTTTTTACCTATTGGCTGGTTTCAGTTTGTTTGTACTGCTGCCCATTTACGCCTTCGCAAGGTGTTGCGATAAACGTATTTCTAGAAGTAACAATAATCAGATTAACAAATAGAAATGACGTCAACGTACAAATAGGCTATTTTACTGTCTTCTGAAAGGAAAATATACATGGTAACAAATATGTTAATTAAAATATATAAAAAAACAACATGAAGTATATATTTAATCATTTGAAATTCTTATTTCATGTTTTTGTTTTGTTTTGTTTTGTTAGAATCCAGTGGTGACGGAGCTAAAACCCCCAACGCGTTTATCTTTTCTCTCAACAATTTTGAAGGGCTACCACCGTTTGTGAGCAAGGTAAAAAAAGGGAAGACAAAAATGGCCATCAGCAGGGGTTCAGATACTGGTCCAGTGTTTGGTCAGGACCTTTCAATTTTTCTTGACTACAAGCTTGCAGAGGCAGTCTTGGACAAGTCCTACTCTGTTCCAGATTTAGTGAAGGACAAGATGGCAATCCTGGACGGGAATAAAGGGACCTTCTCACCTGATGAGGTGGAGGTATTTTATCTTGACCCATCCCGCTAAATGCAAGATAACGCTAACTAAGTTCAACTAAAAGCGAGGGGATGCATTTAATATAACCCAAACTTTCAATCAATTCCTTTGTAGTTTCTCTTTCCTTTTTTTTTTATTTTTATTGTTATTTTTTTATAAATAGAACATAATTATTTCTGGAATTAGGAAACGTAAGGTTGTCGAAAGAAATCTTCATAGAAAAAAGCTCAACGTCAGCCTTCAAATTCTGAAAATTTAATTGTCTAAATCTGTAGTAATTATTGGTTCATTAAATGCTTGCTTATAGCTTATTTTCTGGACATGGATGTCAGAATAGGCTGTTTAGGATACAGGCTCCGGATTTAGTAATGCACGTTTCCAGACACTTTTCTTGCTCGGACAACTGTCGGCCGATCAACTTCATCAAGGCTAAAAAGGGGCATGCACTGCTCATTACAACACTGTAATCGCTCTAGTAACTAAACAAATGTTCACAAACGTGAAAACAAAAAAAAATAGAGGGTATGTTCTATAATTCTGTTCTATAAATCATAAGTAAAAAAAAAACTATACAATGGAAACCCTGTGTGCTAGAGAGTGCATGCTTTCTTAAAGTCGCCATGGTCAATGTTGTTGCAAATCTCCCTGCGACGCATCCTACAAGCATGTTTACCTTTTTAAAAGTAGTTTCCGTTTGAAGAAAGAAATTTTTCTGGTGAGAACTCTTCACTTGTTTACTTGTATCTAAAGTCAAGTGTTCAATTATTTACGACACAGTTTTGTTTGATCTACGTCACAGCTCCTTTGTTTCCGGGAGGCTTCCGAAAGAACACTAATTCATGATGTGCCAGAATAGCGGTAAATTTGAACGTTCACATTCAAAAAATCACATTGTGCTCATACGGCAAAACATGTGATTTTTTCGGGAAGGCTATCGTAGCAATGTTCTCGTAGTGACAAGTACTTTAAATTTAAAAAAAAATGTTTAGCTTATGGGCAATTTTAAGAACTGATGCACTACATTAAAAAGATAAGCCTACAAAGTGCAATAGTCAAGCCTCTTCAACAAGGGGCATAGGATGGTTTATGGGGCTTCGTCGCGCGTTCCTGCCCCACGTTTTGAGGGTAGGTGTTGTATTGCCTTCTTGTCAACTCTCATTCTACATCTGTATTTGCAGACGTAACGCAAAGAGTTGAAATCTCAGGATAGAATTTTCCCTGCTAGCGTTTGTCATTGACTAAGGTGTAGTTACTAGATTTTTAACATATAGTTTAGCATATATTTCAATGCAATTTATTAATTCCTATACGTAAGCAACGTGAATTGCGATATAATTCCATTTATTTGTACTTTTATGATAATTATTCAATATAACTTGTCACAGTATTTATTCCTTGCCATCAGATATTCACCTGACGTCATTTTGCATTTTCATCACTTAATGTGTTTCAATGCAGTTTTATTCACACTGAAATGCACTAAGAAAACAGGTTAGTTTTCAGGATTGCGAGAAAGAAAATACACCAAAGTTTCTAAGCAGCAAATTCTACTTAAGATTAATTTGAGTTATTTAGAACTTTCTAATTAAATAACATATGAGGGATATTAAAGGTTTTGGTTTGAAATATACTAACTTTTCATTTGAATTCAAACGTACACAATTGTTTTATTTCTCACGCAGGCTCTTCGCTAAACACCAAACTTTACATTCCTTGTGTCGGATTTTCAGTAGCAGGTCTAGATCACGCAAAATTCGGCCTTTATAGATTTCAGACTTTTTTGTTAATTGTCGTCATAGTGATATCGATTATACTTGAAACTGCCTTTTGACAAACTCCATTTCATAGCCAATCACTGGTGAAGGACAAAGATATTAAATAATTGTTAAGGCGATTGAAAAATATCGGTGTGGTATCCCGAAAACTGCATCGAAACACCTTAATTAACTTAAATTGTTTAGAAATATTATAATTCTTGATACTATTCTATTTGCATAAATGACGTATTCCGCCATCGATTGCAACTGTTGAAATGTCTGCCCCTAAAAATGTTACTAGTAAGATTTCATTATCAGGATACAAAATACCTGCCTCGGCCGCAGTCACTAGCCATAGTTCTCGTGGTATTTAAGCTGAATTATCAAGTAAAGCGAGACAAAGGAGGAAACGGAAAAGAAAGAAAAAAAGGCGAATGTTTTACCTTCCCATCTTTCATTAAGAACCTTGAAAAAGCCTGCAGACGAGGCAGTGCAGATAATACGATGTTATTCATCTTATTTTAATCCAACGCCTTTTGAGGAAGTTATAGTTTATCACTTCTATTGACTTTTGGCATTATACAATAATATTTTAAAATTTTTAAGGGAGACTATGCAGTTACTATAATGTAAAATCGTACTAATTTTACACTATGGTAACTATACTGTTATAGTTTATTTAAAATACTATTTAAGTCTAGCATCATTACTATTGATTACGAGTACTATTAAGTCACATTTGTGCGCACACTATTAGAGGAAAAAATGTAAAATGAAATTGTCAAGTGCAAATAAAGAGAGAGAAAACCCTTCTCTTTGGTCATTTCATATTATTTTGCAATTTAAAAAAAAGAGCAAGAGAGATTCTTTGTGTCCCTTGGGCTGTGAGCTTTGCATTTATTTATTATTCAAAGTTAAAACCATCCCGGCCAGATACAGTTTTTCTTTTTAAAATGCTCATTCTCTCGAAAGCTTCAGAAGGACTTAGTGTTGTAGTATAAAACACATGAAACAAAGCAAGGAGCCTTCGTTGTTAGTGAAAACAGTTCGTTGTAGTGTCTCTGAAAATAACTGCCGCCATCCTTTTTGGCCGCACTTTAACGTAAGTATCGTTTGTACACTTTGCATTGATCGATGTACCTGAGACGAATAGGCTCTTTGTGGAGCTTGGCCATATGCTTGAATACTATTTAGCAACGGCTCACTGGATGGCAAGCCATTCAAGCGTTCATTCCGGCCCCATCCACACGTATCCGGATATTTTTGAATCCGCAACTATTTCTTTCCGGATTCAAAAATTTCCACGTCCACACGTACCCATTTTCAAATCGAATTTGCCCTTCCACACGTATCCGGATTCACTCTAGTGCCCAGGACTCCTCTGGGAATATTGGCAACAGAGCAATTGTCGTAAAGACGGGTAAGAGCAGAGTTAAGAGAACGCGAGAAAACTTTGGAACGAGGTTGCCATCTTGAATACAGTATTCATGGTAAAGAACTGGGCTGGATCTTGTTACATCACCGGAAAAAAAAAATCCGGATTTAGCATTTGGCAGGCTAAAAACGGAAGGTTTTTCAAAACCGTTTCTGCTACAGTTGAATGAGCAACCTAGATCGAGTGCTTGTGAATAATGCGCGCCAATTTTATGTAATGCGCGCCGATTTTATGTATAAGGAGGATGTGGCCGGCAGTCCGTTTGTTCGGTTTGTTTTGGGGTGCGTCAGTGCGAGGAACGTTAGAAGCCTGTTGTATTGTTTTAAAAAAGGTTTTGTCGTAACCGCAGTAGTCAAGTTTCATTAGATTTAACTCCCGTTGGCGTCTAGTTAGTGTCTAGCAAGGTCTAGTCAATGACGTCACCCATTGTTACAACCTAGGGAAAAAATGCGTCCCTCCATATTGATTAAGTGCCTTCCTCCATATATAATGAAGTGGATAGTCGTTTCTTTTCTTTTGGAACTATAGGAAGTATAGGCTTGCCTAGACTTACCCGGTAAGTAAATTGTGCCCTGTTTTCGGACCGTGTATTAAAAAGGTATAAGAAAGCGATCACCTAGCAACGCGAGAAACGGCTTCCTATATCTTATTTAGCGCTAAAACTCGGATATATAAACAAAACACACGCACATATACACAAAGTGGAGCTGAAAACTCTGTATTTCAAGTTTGTTAGACTATTACAAAACCGTTTTCCCCTATCTATCGCGAGGAAATGAAAAATTATTACAGTCTCAGCGTTTCACGCACCGTTAGTCAGTTAATTATGCGAGTTTGCAAGCCCAAAGTTGAATACAAATTAGCTCTACAGGAAAAACCCCAAGAGAGCATCTTGACGTATTATCATAAACTTAAAGCAATTTGAAATAATTTAACAAGGATCAATTGAAACACACGTCTAATAATTGCTAGCAATAGAACCAGACAAGAGATACCGTTTTAAAAACTCTATTAAAAAAAAACAATGACAAAAACAGTCAAATACACAGCGATTTGTGAGGAATGGAAATTAATTAATCTTCATCTTCTTCGCCCATGGAGTACTTGTAAGGTTTCAATTTCTTATGCCGACGTTACCTCAGCTGTTTGGCATGACCTTTATCAGTGATCATCCAACTAATTTACAAATTGAATCCGACGCCTTTTGCGCTTCGGGCCTTGTTGTTATGGGGTTTCTACTGTGGGAGGAGGGGTCAGGAAAGCAGGATTTAAGGGTGTGGTGGGGTGAGGCTTTCTTTGTCAGGTTTTTGAGAGACTTGTGTTAATTCAGGTGTTACGTTGAAGGGGTTGAGGGGAGTTGAGAATGCTGTCGTTGCTGTCTAAGAATCTTCTGTCCTTGATGTCAAGTCTGGAACAGTGCTGATTATTTCTTCCGGTCGTGTTCTTGTATTTAATTGTTCTTTAAAAGCCAGCTAGCTGTTTTGCAACTGAATCGTTTAGCTTTTTCATTGTCCCGAAGATCGTTTCGAGAAAGAACGTCATCCATGTTGCCTTGTATTTCTTGCATAGCTGGAAGAAGCGGGACAGCCGAAAGAATTTGCTGCTTCAGATCTCTTGAGGAGTATTTTCTTGAAACCCTGCTTGGTTAAAGCCTTCTTCACTGGACAGAACGTTTGATCGCAACCGACAATTATCTTGGGTAGTAGTTTTCAGATCAATCAGAAGATGAACAAAAGGTCTTTTTAAAGCCTCTTCGTACTGATTTAAAAAGAGATCAGTTTGTCCGGAATACATTCACTTGGCCGGAGTAAAGATTTGAAATTTGTCTCGTAGGTTCT